CATTTTACATGTGGCTTGCTAATCATTTTGTGCCAAATCTACCTCCCACGAGGCCCATTGTTTTATTGACTGACAGTCATGATTCACATCTAGATTTAGCAACCTTTGAGTTTGCCRAGAAGAACAATATCTATATATATGCCCTGTTGAAAAATGCAACGCATTTGGTCCAGCCTGCTGATATTGGCYTTTTTGAACACTTAAAGAAGAGCTGGTACAAGTTGGTTAGAAACTACAATCAAAGATATCTAAACATCGAAGTAAATAAGAAAAATTTCTGCTCTGTATTTARAACGTCATGGGATGAAGTAATGAGACCATCTATACTTGTTGGTGCGTTTTTTAATTCTGGCATTTACCCACTGGAAAAGAGCATGATAACCAAACATATACTGTCTACSAACTCCCTTGCCAATTCWAAGATGCAAGCCCAGTCTAAATCGTCTGTTAGATCTGCTAACAACCACGCGTTCCATGCTTTAGATGACRCCCTCAGTACYCCCAAGAAAATGCAGTATCGGCAATGTATGGAGGAAAAGTATGACCTAATTTCGCCTTTCCCATGCCACTCAGGTCAACACAGCTTTTTGAACCTGTTTCTATAAAAAAATTAAATCAACCGAATCGTACCGCTTTTACAAGATTCTTTAAGCTACTAAAGTTTATACTGTTCTTCATAAAGCTGAAGTACTGGAGTTTCGAGTATAGAGTGAAACAATGACAGTTAATGAGTTAGCGAAAACAATGCCACTCGCTTTCACTCTTTACTCGAGACTCTAGAGTGTTTCAAKTGGAGCGCTTCAAACTTAAATTACGGAATCAAATTCACACGAAAGTTACAAAATAGTTTGAATGCAGCTATTACAATTTTGTTTTGGTTATTAATATGCTTCACTTGTAAGCAAAAATGAACTGGCCTTTAATGATTACCTGTTACAGCRAAAGTGAACGAATAAGAAACCATACTAAATACCATCAAACTGTGAATCTACACAAAGATATTTCCAAGTGTGTTTTGAGACTTATCTCGCCTTTCCCATGCCGCTCAGGTCAACACGGCTTTTTGAACCTGTTTCATCTACTTTAAGTTATTCTATCAAAAATTAAAACAACCAAATCGTACTGTTTTTACAAGATTCTTTAAGCTACTAAAGTTTATACTGTCCTTCATAAAGCTGAAGTAGGTTTATAATCAGAATTCTGTCAGGATAAGTGTCCAAACAAATTTGTTCTCTCTTGGCTAGTCGCCAAAACAACTAAATATTTCAATCAGCTACGATCATGATAACAGTAAGAGATAAAAGCGGTTTCTCATGCTTTCATTTTAGAAAAGTTAATCATAGGTTGTTACGGAGTTTGAAGAACATAACGATATATTGCAGAAATTGATAAAATATGCTTTGATAATAACAAAAAATACTGAATTGTGGAAGAAAACAGAACAAATAAGCTTCCCAAAGTGCTTTAACACTGCCTAGACAGCGGAATGACGAGACAGTATGACGAGACGGCGTGACATTGTCGTGTAACCTAAATTTATATGACATTGAATTGACATCNATCAAACATGCCATGAAAGTTGTGCAAGATTCCACCAAACACCTAAACCCCCTTCAGACACCAGTACTTACAATGGATCAACCCCTCTATGCTATTGCAAAACAGATTCAATGGCATAATGCTGCAGAATTTGGAGAGGATAAATACATGTTAATGATGGGTGGTTTGCACATAGAAATGGCCACACTCAAGATGTTAGGCCATTGGCTTAGTAACAGTGGATGGGACAGGTATGAATATTACATAATGCAAAAGTATAATTATGTAATTACAGTATTATAAAATATTCTATGTATTTGTTTATAGTGCACTTGTCCAGGCTGACGTTCTAACAAGAGGGAGAGCCGAAGCAGTTATGAAAGCAAGCCATGTAACGAGAGCAAGATACACACATCAAGTTAGTGCATGTAGCCTTTATCTGTTGCAGAGGAAAGCTTATAACGAATATATGGAAGGTCAGCTCAACATTCAAGATTTTACAACCTGGTCCTTAAAGCAAAGCAAAGATTACCCACAGTTTATGTTCTGGTCGACAGCATTAGAATTGGAACTCTTSTTATTACAGTTTTTGAAAGCTTTAAGGGAGGGAAATTTCCTCGTCTTCGTCCAAGTTCTGAGCAAGTTAGTTCCATGGATGTTTGCCTTAAATCTGTCAAACTATTCACGATGGTTACCAGTACATATTAGAGATCTAGTGCAGCTGGAGAAAAGACATCCTTCTCTATATACAGAGTTCACCCAACATCGTTTCTCTATGATTGCGCTTGATCAAAACCATGAACAAGAGAATGAAATGATTAAAGGGGAGGGTGGGGCAGTGGGGCTTACTGAAAGCCCAACAGCTCTCAGGCGTTGGATGGTCTCTGGTCCAGAKGTTGCTAGATTAGTCAAGGAATTTGAGTCGACTTTTGAAGTCCACAATTCTAGCAGAAATACTGACCACCACGAGCAGATGCCATCAGTTCAGAAGAACTTTGGAAAAGATGTCAAAGCTTTAGTCACTGTCCTAGAGGAACTTGGAAATCCCTTCACAGAGAGTAGCAAAGATCTCATCGTGCTTGACAGCAAAGAAATTATGCCCGATTCTTTTGTGAAGTCTGTGTATAATGCAAAAGAAAATGGAGAAACCCAGTACAAGAATTACGTAGAAGAAAGGCTGGAGAAATGCACCAAGGCAATATCAGATACAATCGAGCGCAACAAGTTGCCACTGTTTGGTACACAGGAGAAAGCCCTAGTGCAGAACAAGGCAAAGCAACAGGTGGCAACCCTCAAAAGTGRTTGCAACCTTTTTTCGAGGTTGTATATTGCTTGCCAGGCAAGAGAGGGGAATTTGCAAGAATTCTTTAAGCATGAGAATCAAGCCAGCCCTCCTTCGCTCTCATGTGGCCAAAGGATGCGAACTGGCCAAAAATCAGAATTAGTGGATTGCCTGAGCCAGGGCAATGCACGTACAGTTTGTCCGGTGGTTGATGCCAAAGTCCTTGATGCTGCTGCAATCGTAAATATGATTGCTCCAGGAAAGTGTAAGACGTTTGGCGCCACGATGCCACGATGCTGTTTGTACCCTATGCCTTAAAGCAAGCACAGAATGTCAAAAGAATTGACATTGTCTGGGACCGATATCTGCCAAATAGCCTGAAGAGAGGGACACGTGAAGCAAGAGGGACAGCTGGTCCACGTAGAAGAGTATGCGACAGTGCTGCTCTACCGATGAATTGGAAAACATTTTTGAGATCGAACGAAAACAAGAAGCTGTTCCGCTATCTAGCCCAAATGACAACATCACTTCAGTCACATGCAGTCATCATTAGCACCCTAGAAGAAGACATCATCAGCTCTTCTGCAGAGTTTGACAAAGAAGCGCTATCACCATGTAACCATGAAGAGGCTGACAGCCGGATTTTCGTTCATGCTAAGCATGCATCTTTGAATGGTCTAAATAAAATCATGATACGAACAGTCGATACAGACGTCGTTGT